CACTTATCAGGATAGAAGGAAAAATGGATGGGGCAAAATACTGTCAAATTCTTGAGGAAAATCTGCTGCCCTCTGCCAGAAAGTTGTTAATGGGAAGAAGGTTTACCTACCAACATGACAATGACCCAAAGCACACAGAAAAACTGAGCACACAGTGGTTGAACGAGAAAAAGGTGACATGGCCTAGATGGCCTAGTCATGAGCCCAGACTTAAACCCCACTGAAAATCTGTGGAATGACTTGAAGAACAAACGCTCCTAAACAAAATGACCACAGCTGATCACAGTTGAAAGTCAAATGGCTTTGTGTGCCATTGAAAAGGTGATTAGCCACACCTGATTGAGTTTACAAGTTATTTTTTGGAGGGAGTGATACTTTTTCCAGCTCAGTGATTCGTTTTTTTTTTTTTCTGACATGTTGGTGTTATATCTTTCAGTTGGATGTTATATGTTGCACTGAGTAAATACAGCTGGATTAAAAAAAAACCTTGTTCATCTTCTTTTCATGCTGCAAAGCAACAAAATGTGATTATTTTAAAGGGGCGTGATTTTTTTCTATACCCACTGTGTGTACACACACACACACACACAGCAATATATAATTATCTTTGTTACTTGTGAGAAATAATAATAATAATAATATATTCTGGGGTGGTTCTCTCTTTTTCCTTTTAGCATTGCTATTAATATTCTCTAATAACTAAGTTTGTATGTATATGAACTGCAAAGAAGAGCGGGCAAATATTACAAAGTCTAGATGTGCAAAGTTAGTAGAGACAAATCCCAACAGACTAAAGGTTGTAATTAAAGCAAAAGGTGGTTCAACAAAATACTGACAAAAGGGACTTATCCTTTTTCCAACTCAGTGAATCTGTTTTTTTTTTGTTTTTTTTCTCTGACATGTTGGTGTTATATCTTTCAGTTGGATGTTATATGTTGCACTGAGTAAATACAGCTGGATTAAAAAAAAACCTTGTTCATCTTCTTTTCATGCTGCAAAGCAACAAAATGTGATTATTTTAAAGGGGCGTGATTTTTTTCTATACCCACTGTATTCCAAACCGA